TCCCTTCATCCCCAGGCTGGATTGATCCCAGGGGTTGCCCTGACCCAGGTGCAGCACCAGCATTTGGCCTTGTTGAACCTCATGAGGTTCCCATGGGCCACAGCTTGAGCTTTTCTGGGTCCCTCTGGCTGCTATCCCATTCAGGAACTGGGATGTAGTAATGCTGGTCTCTTAGCAGGCAGATCCACTGGAACACCTGGATCTTCAGAGCACTGTACAGACACCAGGTGCTGCCTCCCCACACAGAGCCACAGTGCTGGGTTAATAAGTCTGTTATTTGTGCTCATAACAGCTTTGTGCCATCAGCTCATACAGCCAAGCACTGTGGGGACAGAAAGGAATGTGAGCAGAGAAGGAAACAAGGGATAGGGAATGTCTGGACTGGGTTTCCCATCTAACAGTTAATGGAAAGGGCTGGATGAAGGAGTGGGTGAAGATAAGGTATTGCAGAGCCCCAAAGCACTGAAAGGGCTGCAAAAGTGAGTTGGTTACTGGATAGAAATACATCTTGGAGGGAAAAAAGGGCAGTTGGAGAAAAGACCATTGTCTTTTAAGGATTGAGTGGATATGCTGTGGGTAGCTTTGAGCTAGGGCAGGTGTGTGTACAGCCTGCCTGGGGGGCAGAGGGCAGATATCCCTTCTCTCCTCTGAACATCCCAGCAATGTGGGACAGCACAGCTGCCCCCACTGAGGCAGTGTGCCTCCAACAACATGGAGAGAGCTGTGGACTCCTCTGGAGGGGCATGGTAGTAAAAGTGCTCCAAGGGCTCCTCTGTCATGGAGACAGCCTGGGAGAGCTCAGGTTGTTCACCTGCAGAAGGGAAAGTTCCAGGGAGGCCTTAGAAGACCCTTCCTTGTGCCAAAAGGGGCTCCAAGAAAGCTGGAGAAGGACTTTGGACAAGGGCCTGGAGGGACGGGACAAAGGGGAATGACTCCACACTGCCTTAGGGCAGGGATAGATAGGATATTGAAAAAGAATTCTTCCCTATGAGGGTGGTGATGCAGTGGCACAGGTTGCCCAGATAAACTGTGGCTGCCCTGTCCCTGGAAATGTTCCAGGCCAGGTTGGATGAGGCTTGGAGCAACCTGGGCTAGTGCACGGTGTCCCTGCCCATGGCAGGGGATGGTACTGGGTGAGATTTAGGGTCCCTTCCACCCCAAACTCTTTTATGAGTCTATGATATACAAGGACTTCCCATATTTCCTGTGTCACCTTAGTTTTGCTCCATCAGGATGCTCCTTCCCCATGTCAGTTCTGCTGTTGCCTCCTCTTGGCACTTTGCTGCCTCCAATAAACTGTTTTGAAGAGTGAAATGCTACTTAGAGCCTCCGTTCTGCTCTTTTGAGTTGATTTGTGGAGCCGTTTGGCTCACTGTGGGTGTTGTGAAGATGAACTGGAAGCAGCTCAGAAGCTTCACTGGAACCAGCTGTTCAGCCCCTTTGAAGTCTGCTTTGGTTTGGAAATGGCCTTGGAACAAATTTGGGCCAAGTTTTGTCCCCAGTGTTGCCTCATTTGAATTGCTAAAGTTTCCAAGAAGGAAGAAACAAATCCCAGATTCCAGCAGGGAGGTGATGATTTGAGGATGGGGAAAATCCAGCTCTAGGGCACCTTCTGCAGCTGAAAACTGATATTGCCCTAGGGCACAGGGCAGGGCAAAGCCTCTGCACAGCCCCAGTTTTTCTCTTGAAAAATAGTATTAGCAATATAAGTAAAACAGATATATACAATCATAGAATGTTAAGGAATATACCTTAGAGATCATCCAGTCCAAATCCCCTGCCCTGGGCAGGGACACCTCCCACCAGAGCAGGTTGCTCAAGGCTTTAGCCAACTTGGCTGTGAACACTGCCAGGGCTGGGGCAGCAACAGCCTCCCTGGGCAACCTGGGACAGTGTCTCACCACCGTCACAGGGAAAACTTCTTCCTGAGATCCATCTAAATTTCCCTCTTTCAATTTCTCCCCATTCCTCCTTGTCCTGTCCCTGCAGTTCCTAACCAAGAGTCCCTCTGCAGCTTCCCTGGAGCCCCTTCAGCTCTTGGCAGGTTGCTCTGAGGTCTCCACACAACCTTCTCTTCTCCAGGCTGAACAGCCCCAACTCTCTCAGCCTGTTCTCTCAGAGGAGGTGCTCCAGTGCTCTGATCAGCTTTGTGGCCTCCTCTGGACTTGCTCCAACAGTTCCATGTTCTTCTGCTGTTGGGGACACCAGAGCTGTGTGCAGTACTCCAGGTGGGGTCTCAGGAGAGCAGCGTTGAGGGGGAGGATCACCTCCCTTGACCTGCTGCCACACTCCTTTGGATACATAGATACATATTAAATAATTTCAAAGAGCTGAATGAATGAAATTTAAAAGAATGATTAAATAATTAAATGCCATTAACTTTGCCTGTGATACCTCTGCTTGGCTGAGTTGTGGAGAGCTTGGGAGTGTGAAGCTCAGCTGAGCCATCAGGTCCTGGGATAAGTGAGGAGATGCTAAAACTGAAAAGCAAAAGTCTTTAAAGTTCCTCTT